ATTTAAAAATGATAGTTTTTGAAGCATTATTATTATTATTATAATTATTATTGTTATTAATGTTTATAAAATAATATATGTAACCAGTTTTAAATGAAGTAATTTTGTTTGTATCTACATAAATTTCATTTTTCTTAAGTAATGTATTGTTATGATACCATGTTACTTCTTCATTGGAATTATTTTGAAATACTTCTAATTTATCATCATATATATCCATTACTTTTCCTTGATAATTAGATATTATTATCTTTTTTAAGTGACATTTTGAAATATCAATTGATGCTTTACAGCTGTTAATTATTAATGATTTTAAATGTGGAGGAATGATAATATCAACATTTTGTTTTTCAACGTCTTGTATTGATAATGATTCAATTGATAATGGTGTTAAATCAATTCTATTTCCTTCATAGTCATTCAAAACATTTTTAATTAAAATATTCTGTAAATTGTTCTTTACAATTATTTCATTGATTTCATTGATTTTATTGAACACATCACTTTCAATAGTCATATCACAATTATCTATTAAGAATTGAGATTCATATGGTAATATTGGTAAATAAGGACAATTCATTGTTGATTTATTAATTGTTCTTGTGTAAAATCTACAATTAATGAATTGATTATAATCCATTTGATTTAATATGTTAGTGTTTGAATATGTAATAATAAAAATAATAATGAAATTGATTTGGTTATGCTTATTAAAATCAAATGACTTTGAAAGAAGTTGAAATTCACCAATACTACAAATAATAATTACTTTTTTTAATGTTGGTAATTCAAATAATTGTATTAATGCATTAATATCAATTCCATTCATAACAACTAATTCTTGTAATTGAATAAAATAGTTTGGATGTTTTTCTATTACTTTTTTACAATAATATCCATCTATTCGTATTTTCCTTATTTTGGAACAAAACCATTTTGTGTTAAACACTTGTGTTTGTTTGGATTGTTCATTCCATCCTCCTACTTCAATAAGTGGAATATCATTTGCTGTTATTTTGTATAATCTTGATGGACATCTTCTAACATAAAATGTTTGTAAATTAGGAAATAATGGAATAATTTCATCAAATGAATGATGGATTGTTAATTCATATGGATTGACATAAATCGTATTGATTGCTTCTTCACATGATTTACTTACTTGTGCAAATCTCCCTACATCTTTTAATGTTGGTAAATACAATAAAACATTCTTTAAAAAGACATTTTCTAAATGAGTCATTATTTGTTGTTATTTAGAAGTTTTTGTTTTTTAAGTTTTAATAAAAATGAGGAATATTTCTAATATTAGAAATATTATTTGTTATTTCATAACAATAATCAAATTATAAATAAATGATGATTGATTTTCATTTGAAATTGAATAACACAATATCCATTAATTAATTAATTTATTATTAAATAACTTTCTTGTTATTCAAACATTTTCATCATTTCATTTTTAATATTTATAACATTATTCTTTCATTCATATTAATACGATTAATTAAATATTCAATTAACAATAATTTGATGAGAATTGATTTGAATTAATCAGAAATAATAAAATAGAAATAAAACACAATAAACATAATGAATAGAAAAATACTATTCAATATAATATTCATTGAATTAATATGAATAACCACAAATCATTTGATAATGAATTGGAATTATCTTAATAAAGTAAATGTCTATGTTAGAAGAGAATTTGTGGTTTAAAATATTCATTTATTTAATGTTTGTGATATTTCTGACATAATATTTATGAGTTTTAATACAATTGAAAAGAAGAATAAATAAAATAATAGAAAAGAATAAATAAAAAGAAAAAACAACAATATCAAAAAGTATTGATTTATTCAATATGATGAAGATAAATATGAAATATCATTTTATCAAAATAATAAATAATGAAATAAATTTAATATATTAATATTTTCTTTATTTTTATTCTATGTCTTAATTATTTGTTATTTTATTATTTCTGTTGATTTCTTATTCTATTAGATACTTTAAAAATAATATTTCTAGAATACTATCAACTAACTTCATATCTATTTTCTTGTAATACGTTTATACCAACCATTATAAAATGTTTTGGCTATTTTATATTACTTTTAAGTTTGTTTTATATTTTCTTTCTTCTTTTTGAGTTTAAATAACATTTTATAACCCTTGTTATTATTCTTTTATTCTTTTATTATTATATTTCTGTTTTATTCTTATTTATCATTTTGTTAAAATTTCTTTCTATTTCTATTTTATTTGTTTATTCTTTGTTTATTTATTATTGTTACTTCCTCAATACTTATTTGGATTAATATTCTTTTATTCTTTAATTAAATATTATTGATTGGTTATTTGTTACTGTGTGATTAATAATATTATCTTTATATTCTTATTGATTTCTTTCATTATCTTTATCAATATTCATGAATAACAATTAATAAAAGAAAAGAATGAATATAAAATAAAATTACAATGATAAATAGATAATAATATAATGAATGTGAATATAATTTAAAAGGAGTTAAGAATAAATATAAATTCAATATGTTTTCTTATATTCATTATTTATCTTGTTTATAATTTATTTTGATTATCAATTAATTATTCATTCTATTTTATGTTATTCTTATTCATTTTATCATCATTGAATTAATTTAACAAAAGAAGAAGTAAATTATGTAAATATTGATATTTGAATAGAATATAATGAGGAGTATATTATTGACAAATAAAATAAATAAGAGATTAGTTCATCTTTCCCAACTCTCGCACATTTGACAACCACAAATTATGGCTAATGCCAGTAAATGACTCAAAGCACTTGTCTACAATAAATACTTTTGTATTACCCTCAGCTTTATTTTCAACCTTTGTTGTTAGTACTAAACTCTCTTCTCTCTTATTTATCTATTTGTAATTTTTCTATTAATTATGAAAATATTAATTATGTTTTACCTAATAATTAATATTTCATCTATTTGAGATGTGAGTATTTCTTTTTCTTCTTTTATTCTTTTTCAAACTTCATCAACTTATTTGTTTCTTCATTTAACTTGTTATTTTGACTTGTTATTTTGAATTTATTGTGTATTAAATCTCATCATTCTTTATTGTCTTATTTTGAACATATTAATATCACTATGATTATCATATTTCATCATCATTCATTTTTCTTTCATTTTTCATGTTAACACTTTATATTTTCATCACATTACATTCTTTATCAAACATACTTACATTTAACTCATTAATTAATATCATCATATTAATTACATCATTATTTATTCTTATTAAATAATATGGAATATTCGCCATTTATTCTAGTTTTGCATTACTTCTTAAAAACCAATATCATGACTAGAAGGTAATTACCATTTTTTACTTTTACTTTATCCTTTCATGTGATGTACCTGAGTTGTGACACTTGGTTATCATTTTCTTTCTATCATTTAAATACTCATATCATTAAAAAATTAACTAACATTCACAAAAATAAGATAAAGTACATTAATCATTAATAAAATAGAAATAAAAAAAAAACAAAAAAAAAGGTCAATTAATAGATATATCCTCAATTGGATTTTCTTCATACTGAGAAGTGATTATTTCAGTTTCTTCAATATGCTCTATTGGTGTAATAGAGTTCATTTCTAGCATGTTCGCAGTATATTGTTCTTCTTCTATTGTGCTGCCAGAATTGAATGTATAAAATATTAAGTCTTTCATATTTTTTATTATTATTGTTTGTAGGATTTTGGCAAAGTCTAATTGTAATTTCAGTGATTGTAATCTTCTTACTGATTCTTTATGTATTAATCAATTTATTGATAATATAACAGGTATTATTTCTACATATATTATTTCTCTATTGTTTCTTAATTTCTCTTGTAATTCTTTGTATTTATTTATTTTATGAATATAATTTAATTCTAAATTATTATCTTGACATATAACAACATCATTAATATATCCTTTCTTTTCTGTAATATTTTGATATTATATATCTTGTCTTCTAGCATGGAATGAATTTTCATTAACCAATAAATATTTATTGTAAGTTATAACCATTTCATCATTATTAATACATTTAGGAGGATTATTAAAGTCAATAGCATCAAATTCATTAAAATGTGTAATTAATATCTGTTTATATATTTGTTTACAAACATAATCATGTTTTGATATTTGGTTCTTTTTCATTACAAGACATCCTAACAATATATGAATAATAGATGCAATTGTGTTATGACAATGTTTACAATATTTTAAATCATCATTTTGGAGTATTTTAGATTTAATATTTCCTGTCATACTTACTCCTTCTTGCATCTTTACTATTTGGAGAAATGCATTTCTTTTTATATTTAATGACCTCCAAATGGCTACTGTTAATTTCTTATCATTGAAAGTGCCATTTGCACATCTTATATATTCTCCACATTTCTTTTCTTTCCATTCATTTAAATATCTATCATTTAATTCATTATTTACCCATTCAAATACTTTCTTTACATTGTGCTTTCTTTCATTTAATTCTATTACATTCATTAATTCATTAAAATTAATCTTCTTACAAAATACTTTCTTCATTCTTTTAATTATTCCATTTGGATTTTCTTTTATTGTTTCTATCATTTCTCCTATTTCTGTGTTTGATAATTATATTTTAAATATATTCTTAATAATTCTTTACCACATTCATCTCTTGATGACATTAATCCTAATCCCATTTCATTTATTTTAACATATAATCTACTTTTGGGTATATTTCTGCTATATAATTGGAGTTGTATTAATGATTTTCTTATTTGTTTATCTATCTTCTCCAATTCTCCTAGTTTCCATGGGACAATACAAAATCCATATCTTAATTTGGAGATTATATCACTATTAATCTTTCTTATTGTATTGAGAATGCTATATTTCATAGTGTTTAATGATGATAAAATAGAAGATATATCATTTAATATTCTTGTACAGTATTTGTTGATGTTTACTTTATCTCCTATTTCAATACCAAGATATTAATAAGGATTATCATTAGTTACTCTTGGTAGTTCAGCTAATTCACCATTTATTTGACTATTAATATTATTCATTATCCCACTCTTTTCTACATTAATTTTTAATCCTATTGCATTAAATATTTCTTTAGTTAATTTGTGTGCTTTTTCCATTTCATCGAGGCTATTAGTCATTATCTTTAAATCATCCATATACAATATGTGATTTAACTTGACTTGTTTTTCTTCTCCATTCATTTTGATATTTAATTTGTTTATTTGTTTATCTAATTGTTTAGATAATACATCAATAGATAATACAAATAAAAGTGGAGATAAACTGTCACCTTGTATTATTCATCTTTCTACATTAATCATACCCACACTTTCTTGATTATAATATAAATTAAGATGTGTATTATTTAATATATATAATATATTATTAATTACTACAAGTGGGATATTAAAATAAATTAAACAATGTTTAATCCATTGGTGGTTAATACTATCATATGCCTTGGATATGTCATAATATGTTTCTACCCACTTCCATTTAGCCTTTAATAATAATTGTTGGATTATAGTGTTATATAATAATCATTCTTTTGATGCATATGTGTATTTCTTACATCCAATTTGATTTAATGAAAGTTGTTTTTCAATTGGATTTAGCATCAAATGATTTTCTATTTTCATTTTTAATATTGATGTATACACTTTTAACAGACAATTTAAACAAGTTATTGGTCTGTAATTCTGATTGTCTAATTTATCTCCTTTCTTATATATTAATATTGTCCTTCCTTGAATAAAATGAGGAGGTATTTCATTAGGATTATTTAACCATTCATTAAATAATTTTATTAAATACTTCTTTGGTTGTTCTAAATATTTAATCCAAAATTCCTTGTATTTTGTCATTTTCAATTTACTTTCAAATTAACAATGAATTTAATAATAATTCAAAACTAAAAACATAAAACAACTCTCGAATTTTTATTAAAAAAAAATAAAACAATGAATTATTTCTAAGATATAGAATATAAAATATACACTTATTTGTTTTTATAATTGATATAATTTTGGTGGTTGTACATGTACATTATTATACAAACATATGATGTCTAAGATTTAGTGTCTCATATAAATAAAAAGGAAGTAGTGTTAGAAATAATATTGATAATATTTTGAAGAATTTTACTTTAGAGACATAAAAAAAATAATAATACTATAATTTAAATCTTTAAATTGTTAGTAAAAAAGTTAATGGAAGAACCAATCTTTATCAATAACACTACTTTGGTTTTTCTCTCACTTCCTAATAACACAACAGAAAAATTATTAGGAATTGCTTTAAAAGACTACGTTGTTACAATTAAACAAATACATGTCGTTGGTCCATTAGCTTATGTTGAATTTAAAACACATCAGCAAGCACTTAAAGTACATCAACAAAGAAGCCATATTGAAGTAAAAAAGAAAAAAATTATAATATGTTGGAAGTTAACAAAAGAAGTAAAAGAGAGAAATGAATATAATTACGATCTTTATGGATTAAAAGATGATATAACTGATGAGTCATTACAACTCTATTTTGAAAATAAGGTGAATATTTTAACATTACTAGTTGGAAAAAATGTTCATGGAAATTATGCTCTTATGAAAGTAAACAGTCAACAAGAAGGAGAGTGGTTATTTGAAAATAAAGACATTATTCAAAAAGATATTGGTACAGATAGGTTTGAATTAAAAGTTCATCAAATTAAACAAGATGATAAAACAAATGTGTTAGTAAAAAATATACATAAAGACTTAACTGAAACTGATGAGTTAATAAATTATTTTTCATCATTTGGAGAAATTGATTCATTAAAGTTAACTGAAGTTAATGAAAAATACAATACAAAAGCATTATTTATTAAATACAAAAGAGAAGAATCTGCAAATAAAATGATTGAAACAGTAAATGGTAAAGACATATTTTCATCTGGTTTACCTTTAATAGCAGAATTATTAAAAAGTAAAAAAGATTATAAATCTGAGAAGAATAAAACATATTATGATAAACGTAGAATGATAGAGACAGATTTAAAAACAAATAATCTTTTTATTAAAAATATCCCAAAACAACTTCTTTCAAGAGAAGCTTTTAAAAATTATTTTGCTCAATACGGAGAATTATTTGATTATAAACTACTTATTGATAAAAGAATTGGTTATATTTGTTATAATGAATATGACAAAGCTTGTGATTGTGTTGCTGGAAATCATGGTAAAATGGTGGTTCTCTTCAAAACCCAATTATACAAAGATCCTGTTGTTGATATGTTGCCTTTTGCTAAACTTCCATTTAACTGAGTTATTTATCAACTTATTTAAAATTAAAGATATGAAAGTATCAGTTTTAAACCATAAAATATATAATAAAAAAATGAAAAGTTTAATTTATTGTTCTAAAGCTAATTTGTCTAAAATCTCTAAAGCATCTGCAGCTACTTTCATTGTTGGTTCAATACTTGATTTTTCTGGTTTAGCAAAAGTATTTAGTCTTCTGTTAGCCACAGCCATACAAATACATCCAGCTCTAACCCAAGTAAAGTTTTGAGTAATTTGAGCAATTGCTGCAATTTCCATTTCAAAATTTTCAACTTTAATTCCATCAACTCCAATATGTGTTAAAACACTATCTAAATTTTCAATTGTTGGATGGTTTTCTTCAAATACAAATCTTCCTTGACATGCAAAAAATCCTGCTGCTGATGCAGTAATACCAACTTTATAAAGTAAATTATCTTTCTTTGATGCTTCTATTAAAGCATCAACAACACATTTATTAGGAATAGATACATATGGATGAAGTCTTCCTTTAAATCTTCTTCCTTCAGGAATAGCTTTGTTTATTTCTGAGTCAGCAATTTTTTCTAATTCAATACCAAATGGATTTGTTAATGCAACATCATAATACATTCCAGTATTATCAAGTCCAATTGCATATTTAGTAATAATAGATGTTCCTAATTCTGTTGTTTCTTGTACAGCACCTGAAGTACCTACCCTAATAATATTAAGAGGTTTCTTTGGTGTATTTTTAACAGTTCGTGTTTCAATATCAATGCATTTAAGTGCCAATATTTCATTAATAATAATTTCTGTGCTTCCAGTTCCCATTCCAGTTGTTACAATAGACATTCTTACTCCATTTGGAGTGTATCCTGTCATAGTAACTAATCCCCTATGGTCATGTCTAAAAATTGGTTTTGTTTGATCTAATACTACAGCAGCTGCTTTTGGAACTCTTTCAGGGTCACCTACAACAATGATGTTATCAGCAAGGTCATCAGCAGAAATAGCAAGATGATAGATATTTTTTCCAGTTGCAGGGAGAGTGGCTTCAGTTAATTTAGTCATCTATTAAACTACTCAAAAACGAGTTTAAATCAACTTATAAATACAATAATTAAAGCGTTGGTTTAATAATTATTATTGAGTGGAATGTTTAGGAATATTCTTTAATGGCATTTTTATTTGAATAGCTTCTTTTATTTTCTTTATATTTAAATAGTTCAACAAATAAGATTCTAAATTGTTAATTATAATTCTCATTTTTTAATATTTATTTTCTTGTTGTCAATCATTAAATAAATAGATGGATATTCATATAAAAAAAAAACAAAAAAAAAGGTCAATTATTAGATATATTCACAATTGGATTTTCTTCATACTGAGAAGTGATTATTTCAGTTTCTTCATTATGCTCTATTGGTGTTATTGAGTTCATTTCTAGCATGCTCGCATTAGATTGTTCTTCTTCTAATGTACTGCCAGAATTTCCTGTATAAAACATTAAGTCTTTCATATTTTTTATTATTATTGTTCGTAGGATTTTGGAAAAGTCTAATTTTAATTTCAGTGATTTTAATCTTCTTGCTGATTCTTTATGAATTAATCCATTTATTGATAATATTACAGGTATTATTTCTACATATATTATTTCTCTATTGTTTCTTATTTTCTCTTGTAATTCTTTGTATTTATTTTATGAATATAATTTAATTCTAAATTATTATCTTGACATATAACAACATCATTAATATATCCTTTCTTTTCTGTAATATTTTGATATTATATATCTTGTCTTCTAGCATGGAATGAATTTTCATTAACCAATAAATATTTATTGTAAGTTATAACCATTTCATCATTATTAATACATTTAGGAGGATTATTAAAATCAATAGCATCAAATTCATTAAAATGTGTAATTAATAAGTGTTTATATATTTGTTTACAAACATAATCATGTTTTAATATTTGATTCTTTTTCATTACAGGACATCCTAACAATATATGAATAATAGATGCAATTGTGTTATGACAATGTTTACAATATTTTAAATCATCATTTTGGAGTATTTTAGATTTAATATTTCCTGTCATACTTACTCCTTCTTGCATCTTTACTATTTGGAGAAATGCATTTCTTTTTATATTTAATGACCTCCAAATGGCTACTGTTAATTTCTTATCATTGAAAGTGCCATTTGCACATCTTATATATTCTCCACATTTCTTTTCTTTCCATTCATTTAAATATCTATCATTTAATTCATTATTTACCCATTCAAATACTTTCTTTACATTGTGCTTTCTTTCATTTAATTCTATTACATTCATTAATTCATTAAAATTAATTTTCTTACCAAATGCTTTATTCATTCTTTTAATTATTCCATTTGGATTTTTTTCATTTTGGTTGTTTTTGAAATTCAAGATATCTTCTTTTTGTTTTATTATGATATTTATTGTATCGTATTTTATTCTATGATATTTTGAATAAATTGTTGTATGGTTCTTCTTATAAAACAGTTAATAACATTATATAAATGATGTTTAATTTCGTTTTATATTTTATATTCCTTGTTATTCTTTTCTGTAATATTAAAATTATATATCTTATACATTATTTCATAGTCATTTAACAAATCTATAATGAAAACAATTAATATAAAATAACCTAAATAATCAATATAATCTAATCTTAATTTAAGAGTTTAAAAGATGTTCATATTTTTAAAATCAATTAATTCAATAAAATCATATACAAATAGCAATTAGTTAAAATAAATAATTAATTGAATCATTTTGTTGATGAGATGAT